TAAATTGAAAAAGGGGGGCAAAAATGGTGCATTGCGATGAGAAGGAGGAGGAAGAGGAAGACGGCATCGTTGATGAGAGGAGAGCTTCTGCTACTCTTCCAGGAGCTTCTCCTTCGACGAGACGTCGTGTGAGTTCAGTCGCGCTGGGGAGACGACGGGTAGCGAGAACGAGGAAGGGAAGCTGCGGCGGCCGGCCGGGGAGGGCGGCGGGAGGGCGAACCCGATTATTGGACCGACGCTAATCCTCTTCCCCAAATCTCTCGATTTCCAATTTGGGGGTTTTTAATTCAATTTTGTAGAGAAGAAAAAGGGAAATAAGTTAGTGTAGAGGAAGCTGTGGTGGTTGAGTGGTGGTTGGCGGTGGTCGACGAGAAGACATAGTGGCGGTGACTTCGCAGCGGTGGATTGTTGGTAGGGGTGTTCAAACGGATTGGTTACCGTGGTAACCATATTAACCGATAGCATTCAGTTAATTTAGTTTGGTTAATTTGGATAATTGGTTTGGTTTGGTTAAACAATTTAGCTAATTTGGTTTAGTTGGTTTGGTTTGGTTTTAACACTGCTAACCAATGAAACCAATTAACCAATTAATGATACACCTAATATACAAAATTATTTATACTTACATGCAACCAACCAAACCAAACTTTCGTGATTTCCTATTTATTTTCCATGTGCACAACAAACCAAAACATTATAGATCAAAAAATAAATGGGCCTGCCTATTTTTACTAAACCAAAACATTTTGGACAACTTCTAGACTTTAGGATTACGTACAATACCATGACAACCACCTCAAACTATGTATAGTTTAAGTGTTTTGTAGGAGAGCTTTAACTTCCTGATGAGGGGTATTGGTATGTATTTATATTTAGGGGTTTGTTGTAAGCAACCTATATTAGGTGCAAAGATGATGAATGATGTATTAAATCGAGTGATGATGATAATTATGGATGGTTAGTCTTATTATTATTGCTTATATAAAATGATAGTTTATGTTTGTTTTCCTGTAATGTTATGTTATTTGGTTAATCCGATTATCAGATTAACCAAACCAATTAAATTTTGGTTTGGTTAATTTGGTTTTCGTGTTAATTTGGACTGTTTGGTTAAGACATTTTATTCCATGGTTAATAAAATTTAGGCTTAATTGGTTTGATTATTACCACGGTAACCATTTGAACACCCCTAATTGTTGGCGGAGAGAATGTTGCGAGTCTTGCGACAGGGAGACTTGCGACGATGGAGGAGGATAGTAGAGGGATTTGGAGATTTTTTGTTTGTTTTCCACAGTGTAGGTGCTTTGGATTTCCTGAGAGAAATAAAAGGTGTTTCTTTTTTTTTTCTTTTTTGTTCATTAATTTAATAATAGTAAGAAAAGTCAATTTCCACCTAGTATGATTTTGGACAAAAAATGCCCATGTGGCTGGCCACGTAATCCTTGCCGTTTGCCCAGTCACACTTAACGTTAACAGCGTTAAAGAATTGGACAGAAGTGACTATAAGTGGTATTTCGCCAAATTTGACTATTATTGGCACAAACCCAAAAAATTTGGCTATACATGTGTATTTTGTCTAAATTCTTCAATTCCTTGATCATGCATGGCCCTCGTACATATGCGTGGGAGGATCAACTAGAGCAGTACTAATGATAAATAGTTCGTCAATTTTGCCACATATTGCCAGCGAAACACCAGAATTGTACATAGACTTATTATTTATCAATGAACCGACCCTCCTTTCTGTTACCAGGATTCTTCTTTAGACTTTATAATTTGTATATAGTGGTGGGTATTGGGTGGGTCGGGTGGATTTTGACCATAAAATGCACCCACCCGCGCTTAAACGGATTGATAATTTTTAACCCACCACCCACCCACATTTAGTCTCGAGTTGGGTCGGGCGGATGGTGGATGATGCGGGTGGGTTTGTGGGTTCACCCACATCACAATGTATATAATATAAAGGAATCAACTTGACATGATAATAGGCGAAGAGAATCATCGAGGGAAACAAGAAGTTGAAATAGGGCGAAAAATGTCGAATTAGTTCTTAAATTGGATAGAAATTCTATTATGAAAGAGTTTTCTACATATTGAGATGATTATTAGGTGCAAGGAACTAAGGAAAATAATTCCACAAAGGAAAGAGCGGTGATCTAGACACAAGAATTAGAGGAAAAAGTAAAGGGAAGAAGAGGGGATCTCTATTTGGAAGGTTGGCTTTGAGGTTCAAACTCCAGGAGCAGTCCGAGTTTATATCTAACGTCTCCACTCTCCTCTCTCTAGCGCCAACGACTTTGATCTTTTTACTGTTGGGTTGAGCGGGTCACCCGCACACTCACCCACAACCCACCCACCACCCGGCGGATGGCTCCCAGCGCAACCCGTCACCCACCCACAGACCCACCCACTTAACGAAATTCGGGTCAAATGCGGGTGGGTCGGCCCAAACCCGCGGATGATCCGCCCGCATGCCCAGCCCTATCAACAGTATCATTTATAGCTGAAAAGTAAAACTGCATCCCCCTTTCAAATTTTTCTGCCCGTAGAGTGATTTTAGGAGGCTGACGTGACAACCCATTTAGGCGGGATTTCTGTATCTTCCAGCGAACCGACCGCAAGTCTGCAACCGTCCTCCTTCTTTCTGTTTCTTTCCAGCATATGAAATAACCGTACTCGCCCGAATCTGGCTCCACTCTCGCCGCATCTGTCTCCAAGTCTCAACCACCAACCTCCTCCACTCCCATCGAAGACCCGCTACTCCGACCTGGGAATTGATGATTCGTCAATCCCCTCCTTCCCTTTTTTTTTTTGTTTTCTTCCCGCATCTGAAAGAATCATTTCTTTGCAGGAATCTGCCTCCAACGCAGGTATACACCAAACTCCTTCACTTTTTTGTTTTTTTTTTAATTCTCACACGTTGTTTTTCAATAATCCCCACCAGATTTCTTTTCCCTTTCAATCGACCTCTTTCTAAGCAGATGAAGAAGAAGAAAAAATCTTACACCAACTGAACTGTGAGTTCTCTTATGTTAATTTTCTCATCGCTCTCACTTCCTCTCACTCTATGCAGTTGTAAGATTCACGGTAGTGAGTTTTGTCCTCTTTGATTCGTGGCAGCGTCTTTCACGTTAGAGGCTTGGATTTTGACTTGCTTCGTGGTGGGATTTTTTGATTCGATGGTTAATTCTTCATATACTCGCGTGGTTGGTCACAACGATCAAGGCCAGGTCTCTCACTTCCTTTTATTCTCCACATTTTGATTCTTTTTTTTTTATGCTGATGAGCTACTCTTATATTACCTCTAGCTCTCTCTTGATCTTACTTTTATTTTTCATTAGTTATAGAGGGTTTCAAATAGTAGGAGTCAAGTAGGAAAGGTCTTTTCCTGTAGCCATAAGGCTAAATTAGGGGTTTGGTTGGATTGTTTACTCTCAAAAGTGAGAGATTATTGATTTTATTGTCACTCCAAATTTTTAAACAACTTGCTTGAGAGAGTGAATTATCAGTTCGGACAGCTGAGTTATTTTGTTGTTCATATGCCACTGATATGATGATGTTTCTCTTTTGTGTTTCCCAGGGGAGTCGAAGGTGGAGGCACTTATACAGGTTTTATGGCGAATCTTTCCGGTAGGCATATTCAACACTGATGCAAATTGCAAAACTCCTTCCAGCGGATACAATGCATCGAACAACAATCAAGAGATCTTGATTTCACCTTCCCCATTGAAGCGCATCTCTGGCCACTGGACAGCGGAGTAGGGGTCGATACTCGAGGATGGCCTATCTAGGTGAGTTTCCTCTCTCAAAATCATCTTCCTATCCATCATTCGGTTGGTCTATAGCATACCCTATATAGGTGGATTTAGTTTCAGTTCTGTTAAATTTGGTGGGAGTTGAGCAAGTTTTATGCAGAATAGTCGATTGAACAAATCAATTTCTTGCATTTCCAATTGAATTTCATAGCTTTATACTCTTATTGATGTTTCTGGCAAGTGGTCGTCCACATTTTGGATCTTTATTATGGTGGAACTGTTGAAGCCCTTTATGATTAGACAATTCGTTGAACTGTTTGTAGTGGCCTCTGAGGCTCTGACTCTGTTTTCATTTTACTTTCAGAATTTGCTATTTCAGCTGCACAGAACTTACTCTATTTAGGATATTAGGCATGTTTTGTATTGAGTTTCACTAATCAGTCCGTTAGTGATTTATGCTTCCTCTATGGCGGTGTGTTATGTTTCCGGGCTAGGGAAGGAGCAATATAGCAAGAGAGGGAAATAAAAACAATTTAGCACACAAAACACAAGGATAAGAAGGTATGATCTCCTTTCAACCTTATTTCATATATATGCAACATTTGGAGTTCGAACTTCGAAGACAAAAAGGGTATGTGTCCCCGGTTTGTGGTTTACTTTTTGTTTTGGTGGGAAGGAGAATGAAACCCGAGATGCTTGATTGTCATACATACAAGACAAGTATTTGGAAAATCATTTCATTTTAGCAGTATTAAGATTGTTTGGTACCTTTTATTAGACACTAATATTTCTTTCTCTTTGGATAGATGATATGTTATCAGTTGTTAATGGATTTCGTTTACAAAGTTAATGGATTTCATTTACAAAGTTATATGTCTGCTGGTACCACTTATGGATTGTGCACTCTTGAGGTGATTACGGTTTCTTCCGTCAATAGATGCTCATATTTACTTGAAAATCTTATTGTTCTGAGTTTAAGGGGAATCATTTTAAACATTGTCGATGCTCCTGCCGTTATAATTCCTCAGTCTCCCCCATCATTGGAATGTGAGGGTTCCCAATTAAATCAAATGCCTTTTCAGTGTGTTCTCTATTCCCCAGATTGATGCTGGGGTAAACCCTTTTTCCTTGATTACATTTCCATAGAAAACCTGGGGGGCTACTGGTGTATGAGATTGTTATAAGATGTGGAAGATAAGTATATGGAAGTTCAATGCATTGGCGAGGTGTTTTTTTTTTAATCTTCCTTTCTTCCAACGTTTTGATGTTTAAAGTCAATATGAGTATCGAGAATGGAGAAGAGTAGGTCAGGAATGTCATGAAAGAGATGTGGTTTGAGAATTTCTCACCCTTTCTTGCGTTTGATTTTTAGGTTTCATCCTCACGTTGGTGACGACACCTATGGTGAAGGAGAACATGGCTGAAGGATTCTCGAAGATAGCGTGCCACCACGTTGTTTCTAAATCAGGAGTTGTTCCATGTACCTCCCGTTCTTGTCCTCACTATCATGCCTCTACTTCAAATTTTGTATGAATGGGTGTCATACACAAAGTTCAAACAAGGAGAGAAGGAAATGGCCATATGGTGGCTACATTAAGGAAAGTCACAAAATTGCAGCCAAAACTGGTGACAATCAGAGAAGCACTTAAGAATGCATAGAAGTTGGAAGGATCGAGAACTCGATTCAATGTGAAAGGAACGAGATGATAAGCCTAGCTTGGTAGAAGATAAAGTCCAGCCTATCCTAAAACTCACCATGTCATTGCAAGAGCTAGAGGAAGCAAACAAGGCACACGAGCAAGTGTACTTGGAAGTTCGAACTGGAAGCTAAGACTACAACTAAAGCATTCAGTTTCGGAAATAGAGTGGAAAAATTTGAAATTCTTCTTCAAGATTCAAGTAATGCACTGAAAGGTCCGACAACAACATTGAAATACAAACAACAGAGTTGGAGCAACAAAAATCCAGCTTCCTAAAGTCTCTCAACTTGTAGTTTCATCCATTGTATGTTTCTCTTTACTTACTTTTTGCTCTCATTTCCCTTTAGCTCTCTTTGATAACTTCATTCATTGGAAAATCTTTTGTGTTCATTAATCTCTACTAAAAAACATGAATGGTAATACTCAAAGAGGCAGAGTTATACAACTCATGGCATAACTTCCGTAACATGTGAGCCCAAAGCTAGCTTTATCACTAAATTGTTCAGTTTTCCAGGATCTTTTTCCTCATTGCATCGAGTTGATAACAAGTACAGATCAAGCTTTAATAATGTTTATATGTTTTAAAGGATTCTAAAAACTTCAACTAAATGTGATGGTTCTGTAAGAGCAAGAACAAGTCATGCCACAGGTTCTTCTCTTTCTATAGGTTGCTGGTAACTAGGATTTGGGAAATGCATCTGTCAATTGCATGTAGTGTTATTTTTGTTTTGTTTTGGCACATTCCTTGCTGACAACTAGGTTGCTTTCTCACCTTTCACTTTGAAAATGAGGCAGAGCTATACAACTCTTGGCACAACTTCCTTAAGATATGAGCCCGAAGCTAGCTTTATCACTGAACCGTTTAGTTTTGTAGGATCTTTTCCCTCATTGCCTCGAGTTAAAGACAAGTACAGACTGAGGTATAATGATGTTATTCTGTTTTAAAGCTTTCGAAAACTTAAAAGTGGGTTCCTTTCTCACCTTTCACTTTGAACATGAATTTTGTTCTTTCTTTTCCATGTTTCTGTGGAATTGGGTTTGGCTTCAGGCATAGCTTGGAGGTATTTCAGCCTGCTGTCATGGATGATGCTACTTCCATCCCTACCATGTCGCAGGTAAAGCAAAAAAAACCCCTCTTTCAACATAATTACCTTATTTTGCTTTGATTGATTGAACTCGATTTGGTCAGAAAAATAAGGCTGATATAAAGATAAATGAGCAAATATGTTGATGGATCAGGTTTTTCACTCGATTAACTAGAAGCTGCAAGTGCAATGCTTTTCTCATGGAAATTGAGATTTCTTTTCTCACTTATGAAGTTGCAAGCATCGGTAAGTACAGTTTTACTTCACTAAAGGAGAATAACATTCACTGCAATTCATGATGGTGATTTTTGTACGTGCATTTGTGCCTTGCTTCTAGATTTGAGTTTTGTTAGTGCCACCTCGGTTCTAGAATGTCTGTGAATACAGCATACCGTGAATTTCAGGATAGTAGTCTGTGATATACCTCATATGTGGTTTTCAGGATATGCAACTTCCGAACCTTCATTAAACTGAAATAGTTTTTTTTTTTGTATTATTATTATTATTATTATTATTATTATTATTTTCTTTCAGAATTCTCTTTTGTTTTACTTTCATTTCCATCATTTACTCTAATCGCATGATCTGTATCTCTATGATTGTTTTGATCTAAACTACAAATTGTTTGGTGCCGATAATATTGTAGAGGAGTCGAAGGGATATATCATGCATGGACATCCTTGATGCAATAAACCTTCATCCCAATTCAATTTTACAGAGCTTTTTGTTACAATTATTGTTTATGCACTATCTATTGACTTCCTTTATAGTTGATGATTTGAGTTTGGTTGTTTTTCCATTCATCAAGTTCCTTTATTCGCTTAGGTTACTTTTCTTTGCTGTGACTAAAACAGTTGCTATTTTCTATCTTTTACTTTTACTATCATGCTTGCATGAAACCGTGGCCATTTCCCTTATTCTAATAACAATCTCTATTTGTCTCCCCACTACATAGCATAGGTACATCCAATAAAAACATGCTTAAAAAAGGTTACAATATGTACCATACAAGGCCACACATTGGACATCAACCGGTCGTACAACGCGTGCTTTCAATATACCTATAGCCTAATCTCTCGAAGTTTATAATTACAACTAATAATATTGAATCCTGTTAAGAAGCACTTTTAAACAATTTATTCTAACAATAACAAGTGTAAACTTTTCGTTTTGAAATATGAAAACTATATAGACAACATTATGCTAGGATAACCTGATCAACCCAAATACATATGAACTAATTAGCACTAATATCACAATCAACAAGTAGTATAAAGATTACTTTGAAATCATTAATGAACTATTTAGAAAATTCAAAATCATTTCAAAATAAAATAAATGCATTGACTAAACAACAACAAATAAAACGAAATTCATCCGACCAACGGGTCGGGTAAAAGCTAGTTTGTATATATATATCCTTCCTCTTCTAACGTCAATTAGCCGTTTTCTTTCCTCACAACGTGATCACCCACGAACAATGTGTATGTGTATATATAATATATACGAAGGACATGATCGGCCACAAACTTGCCACCCACCCACCCAAACATTTGACATTATATTGGACTGCTTCAAATTGAACCCAAGCCTACTAGACCATGTGCTGCTATTTATTTGCAACCCTTACTACAAATTGATTGACACCGGCGTCTCTCTCTCTCTCTCTCTATACATATATCAATATAGTTCAGAGGTTTCTTGGAGGGCGGGCAACCGGGCACATGCCAATTTTTTAAGGGCAGCAGCAGCAATTGGAAGTCGCAACTGGCTAGCTATGGACTAGGGTTTATGGGAATCTCTCTTTCACCGTCGCATAATAATCAATTTTTTAGTCCCTGTGATCCTCCTGCAAACATGCTTTGCTTTGCTTGGAGACGTTAATTAAGTTGGAAAGTATTGGGTGGGAAACTGTTTGTACAAGGGAGGAATTGTCTGATAATAATAATAAGCAACTTTGTTGCTTTGCCGTAAATCAAGCATCAATCACCTCCAGTTTGTCCCTTCCACACAAATGGCAGCACAACTCTTGCATTATATTTTCACCAATTTCGGCCAGGCCCACTTTTCCCAATTGTCATAGAGAAAGAAAAATTGACATAATTCATCCCATGGCTTGTATTGTATATATGGTACGTTGGAAAGGAAAAATATAGTATGGTATAAAAATACGCACAGGTATTATACTTCATCTTTAAGCAAATGTTACGTTTAATAGTATGTTAATAGTCATAAATGTATAAAATTAATTATTTTAAAAATATATAAATATGTAAAATAATAGTAAACTTAACATTTTAATTCATTAAATACGAATATTAAACGTGTTATACGGGTTTTATACGTGTTTAGTACGGGAGCCATCAAATGAACGGAAACAAATGAAACGACTTGACAATAATACGGATACGGAAGTTTTAAGCAGATATAATACGTACGGGTACATATACGTGTATTAAACGGAGTATTTACTAACTATGGTATGGACTAGATAGCTTATAATGTTGCATAGCTGACGACAATGGTGTAAGTGTTCAAAAACATATCCATTATGATTTGGCGGGCGATGATCGATCATATCTGCAATGTTATTGGCTTCAAGAAAGATGTTATTTGCATTGTACGACTCTGAAAGAGTAATACGAGAGTACGTCGATGAGGTCGCTTCCAAATATGTGCAGGAAAACAGTGGAAGGTATATAGAGTGGTCAGTAGAGTAGACATGAGAAGCTAGCTAGTTATGAATATGATGAATCTGTGTCTAGAGCTTACTCTTCTAGTTCTAGGACTAGTAATCCAAGGTCCATGGGCATATAGCTGAGAAATGAGACATGGAATGAATGGCTTGTGAAAAGAAAAGAACGTGGGCTTTAATAGTGTCTTCTTGTATCCAAAACAATCATTCCAGGCTTGGGCCATAGGCCCATGGAACATGCTCTCTAGACCTGATAGAACTCGAATTGTTTTTTTTTTTTATTATTATTAGCGTGGCCCCGGCCAGTTGGTCGGAGAAAGGTGAGATATGAAATTTGATAATATAATGCGGTGTATAACTTATTGTTGTATAGTTTTTTTTTGGGAAACACTTGATAAAAATAGTGAATTTTAGTAGGAAAGTGACATGAATTTTACAACGAATCAAAAATCAGTCTTATGAACCAAAATCAAGTACCTGTTATCTTGTGAAACAATATTGTTTCTGGTAATATGATGAGGTGGAGTAAGTTTTATAGAATCCGAATTATAGAATTGACTGGGTTGCATTTTCAGCATTTTGAATTTGCTGGCTGGAGAGTGATTTACGGAAGGGCAGTTTTGACATTTGACCCGTTTCAAAGGATGTTGTGCGTTTAATAGACACAAGAATGGAGGTGCAGTGCTTCATAGCGGGACAGGATAAAAATTTGGGCTCATTTTCTTTTTTGTTTCTCAAGCCCGCCTACTCTCATGGTTTGAGAAAATATATTAGTCACGTCTATCATCTTATTGCAAGAAAGAAACAAATAGCTAGGTGAAAAAGCAACTTAAATATATTAGTATTCAACCAAAGCAAAATTAGCTCATTCGGTTTATGTAATTGATGTTCTCCGTTATCAATTTGTTTCATTCCAAACCAATAATCAGAATTCTAACCCGAACTCCAATTATCAGGGCCCCACCAGACTTTGTATTACCACTCTTCATAAAGCCCCAATTCCAATACCCAGGTCCATCCCCATCCATCTATAAGCCCAACTTCCTAAGGGCCTAGACAAACACTCGAGCCCGACCCATTTCTCACTCCCTTTGAGCCCGGACCCTGGTTCTGATAACAAGGGCCAATCCCAATCTCCATTTTAATCGAAAAAATTGGGAAAAGGAAAAGAGAAGGAAATATTCATAACAAAAAAAGAGAAGGAAATGCGAGACCCAGTCCGGACTTAGGTAATCAGAACGTAGAGCGAGAGCGAGAGCGGGAGCGAGAACGAGAGCGTCATAGCGTTAATATTTAAAGAATTCAATATTGACAGCGTGAACAAAGCGTCAATATTATATATTATATATTAATTATTTTTTAAAATATATTATTTAACAATCTCAATGGATACCTACTACTACTTTCCTACGACACTAGCTTCCCCATTTTAGCTAGCAAGGACTTATTTGCAATTTCATTTAATTCAACTTTAAATAAATAAATTAAAACTAGTAAAAAGTGTAATGGGATAGGAGTGAGTAAATTCACCATGACCATCCATTTTCCCCCAAAAACAAAACTTATATCCATTCTCATCTCTCTCCACCTCTGGCGAAATTTCCCAATTCCAAATTCTTATCCAGAACCATCCATTCTCAGTCCCCAAACATACCATCGACTTTGTTTTCGTCTCCACCGCGGACGACGATTCAAGCGTTCATCCCCTGTCATCAACTGCATGTCGTCTCTCTCCCACTCTAGATCCGTCGGAGAGTTGTGGACTTTTCACAACACGATCTTCGTTTTGGGTCCTTTGCTTTTCTTTTCAGATCTGTCTTAGCGCATCCTCGAGATTTTTGAGCTCCAACAACGACTTGGGATCCTCTGGAGTTTCAGAAGTTCCAATTTATTCTTTTGCCAATTGAATACTGATGTCAATCTATTTTCTTCTTCTTCTTCGCTTCAATTGATTGTTTTTCTACACCCTGTCCGACAGCTACCATCCTCAAATTGGGTGTTAATTTCTTGTTTTGTTGTTACTTGGAAAAGAACGCGCTCTAAAAATAAGAAATCCCGCTCTGTGAAATAAAAATTCGCGTACTTTCTGCGAATTCGGAAAAATCCGTCTTTCAGCGCTCTCGAGCGGGAGCGTAAGGCCCAACCCAACAAATTGGGTGACCTAAGTCCGGACCCTGGAATACAGACATACCCAGCTGACCCAAACTGTTGCGTTCAAGAACAGAAAAAGGGAAAATTTTCGAAGATGGGGAAGACGGTGGCTCTCAGGTCTCTATATCGTGCAGCTTCTCATAGATCTTCGATAGGCTTGTCATCTGTCGCCGGCAACCAGCTCCTTCACCATCAATCAGCTCCTCGATCCCTGTTCACTCTCTCTTCCGCCACCGCTTCTGCGGATCGCTTCACCTCCGGTATGGCTCTTTTCCACCCATACTTCCGGTTATGGTTTTGGGCGCTCTGAGTAGTTATTTGGTTATCGATTTCATCATCACGCTTGGAGTTATTTTCTAAAACCTGGTTGGGGCCTTTTAAATTTCTCGGTCGATTTGGGAGCAAATTTGGTGAATTGGGTTGAATGAATTTGCCTAATAGGGAAAAGAAGCAGTAGCCTTATCTGAATATTTTCGTTCCCAATTATGCCATTCTGCTAAGCTTATCCACGATGATTTGAAACTGAGGAAAAGTTGTTTCTTGGTCCTTTGTTTCCCATCTGTAGTTATTTAGCATCTATCCCATGTTGTATATTCAGAATTGTAGGCTTTATCGCTTTACAAATTGTTAGCATACTAACAACATCGCCTGATATGTGTGAGATGAATTTTCATTGGTATCTGTGTCCAGCTGCTAGAAGTGAACCAGCTACTATCGTTGATTTTATCCACCAACGTCTGTCTGTGTGAAGTTGATGCTACCTTGGAATGATAGTTCATCACTCTTTTAACATGTCTTTTCCATGCTTGTTGTTAGGTTCCCGGTCTCATTTGGCTATCAGCATTGGTAGTAAAAGGTCTTATAGTGAGGATGTAGCACACTTGCCCGAGATTAAGGACCCTGATGTCTTATGTGCTTTCAAGGACTTGATGGCTGCAAGTTGGGATGAACTTGATGCGACAGTCGTCCATGATGTAAAGAATGCTTTGTCCAAGAACACTAATGACAAATCCGGTCAAGAGATATTGAAGAATATTTTTCGGTCATCTGAAGTTGTCGAAGAATTCAGTGGGATGGTCATATCTCTAAAGATGGAGCTAGATGACAGCATTGGGATGACCGGCGAGGTATGCTCATGGTTTTTTATTTGAAATTCTTAGTTCTATATTTTGTATTCGTCAAATGGTTCCTGAAGGTTAATAATAGTTTGTAAAAATGTGTGGCACAGGATGTACAGCCGCTAACCGATGATTATGCAAAGGAAATCCGCATGTTTTTTTAACGGTACTCTGTGTATTTGGAGTCATTTGGACCTGATGAGGCCTATCTAAGAAAGAAAGTAGAGATGGAATTGGGTTCAAAGATGATATTTTTGAAGATGAGATGTGCTGGCCTCGGATCCGAGTGGGGCAAGGTATTATGACTTGCTCAATTTTACTGAACGCTAATTAACTGAAATTTATGATTTAGATTATTGCTCCCTCAATCTAGCACCTTTTGCTTATATGGGTTTCTAGGGATGTTTTCTTTCCATCTGTTTTGCCTCAAAATGCTTCATGCATTTGCATATTGGTATCATCTTCTTTTTAGCGAGATTAGCTCGTCATGGCTTTAACATTTTAATGATGGTATCTGATTTGAATCCCAGGGCTTACTAGCTTTTATCTTTTCACTTGTGCCTCTTGAACTGTACTTGGCTGTACTTTTATGCATATTTTGAAAGCAAGCCTAAATCACTTGTTCCTGTTTTTGCAGGTGACCCTGATTGGTACTTCTGGACTTGCTGGATCTTATGTTGAACAAAGAGTTTAAAGTCCCGGAATCTTTGATCCAATTAGGCTTAGTTTCAAAAGTTTTTCTAGCTTGGAATCTGTGTTTGTCGATGGTTTCTATCAAGTTGTTGATCTTGGAAACCTTTTAAATTGGAGTTCGATTGTAGTTCAATAAACGCTTAGCTATTTCAAGATTTGCATTGATGTAATGTTGCTCACATAATTTCAGTTCCATTTAGCTGTATTTCACTGGAAGCAAAGGTTTCTTCAAGCAAATAAGGTCGTTAACTTTTTTTCTTGTGTTTGTGTATTATATCATCTAAGTTGAAAAATGATTGGTATAAAAATAATAAAAAAAGATCTGTTGTTGTAATCCTGGTTGTTTCCTTAGCAGATCATCGAAAACTATCTCATAGAATATTGATATTCGTACAGTGAATTTCATGATGGAATAGGATTGAACTTTTGATTTCCAATCTAGAATCTGATACGTGGGAATAGACATGGCAATATGACAGAACAATAAACTTCGCATCGTCCTTCCGCAACAGTCTATCTTATTCTCAAACTCTTCCAAAGGTTCTCGTCTTTGTTGCAAGCTGCAAGAACTCTAAGGCAGCCTGGCTGATCTAGTGCCTTTCCGCCATAGCCAGGAATCAGAGGGAGACTTAGGCAGAGGTGGGAGCAAAACAGCCTTCCTGCAGAGACCGAATGGCCACCCTTGGCAGTGGCAGAGCTCCTGCAATATCGAAACCCGCCTGTGAAAACTTGGGAACTCTACCTGACTCAAGCTCGAACACCTCGACAACAAGTTTGTCTTCACTGAGAAGAACTCTTCGCCCCCCTTGCTCAACCCGCTCAAACAACACGAAAGACAGCTCCCAACAGAGAATAAATCTTCATCCTTTTCAACTTCTCCATCCTTCTGCTTCTCGGGACTAAAGAGCAGTTCCCCTGAAAAGCTATATGTGATCACAAACACCTTCTACTTCGACTTCTCCATGGCTCTGCTCCTGATTGCTGACACGAAAACCTGAAAAAAGAAACAATATAGTTATTTTCATAAAGACAAATACAAATTCATGTGTGTTGTTTTTTGTATGTCCATACAGGAAAATTGGAACGGTTTGAAGAAGTGGAAAGTACTTCGTGATCATCAACATCTTCGAGTTCAATTGTCGTGTTGGGAACATAAACATCATCCTGCTGCTGCTGAAGAGAGCTTATGTGGCCGCCACAAGATCGACAGATGGAGAAGGCATCTTTGAGAGTTGAAACCAGGAGGAACTTGCATTTCTTTGACGGGTTTTGTGGGGGTGGCTCTTCCTGATAGAACACACCCATTTTGATTCAGAGAAAGGAATTAGACAATACACAAAAATCTAAAAATTTGGTGGTGGAAACTGATGCTTAACTTGGCTATAAAGAGGAAAGGAAGAAAGGGAGGAAGAGCAAGCACCATGGAATGTGGGGGAAGGGTAAAAGTCTCAATCTTGAGTTGATGTCCAAATTGACCTCAAAGCTTGATGGTGGCTTTGCAGCTGCTCACCTCAAAGATAGTGCTAAGAGTGTTCTTGTTGTTGGCTTAAGGGTAAAGATAAAGTTTTTAAGGGCACAAATCAGAAATTACCCACTTGAGACAAGGTTCTTATTTCGTCACTTTCAATCCCCCACTTTGAAGATGAAGCCTTGTTGTGGTGAAAAGGAGACAAGACATTACACCAAACTGTGTGTGACTGGTTTTCCTTTTTCTTCCATTGCACCCTCCTTTTTTAAGTCGTTCATTATTGGTAAAATGATAACTGTCTATGAACAATCAATGTGAAAAAGAAAACTGAAAATTAAATGGGGGAGATGGAGATGGTGATGGTGCTGGTTCTTTAGCTCTAATTCTACATATCATGTTAATGCAGTCGGCAAATGCATAGTTTTAACTTATTTATAATCATTTAGTAGTTTCTCCACTACCGTCTTCTTCTTCTAGAATCATCTTTCTCTTCTTTTTCTCTAGATTTACACAAAAACCCTCCCCATTGCGACCCGACAGCAATCTCAAATATTGTCTCGCTTCTTGACCACCACAATCTCCATTCCTCTCGCTTTCTCTCCCTCCGCGAAGTGGATCGGTGGCAGGTGGAGATATGGAGATTGGTCGGAACACGACTGGATCTGAAGGTCTGAACCTTGAAGATGGATTACGGTGGATCCGAGCGGCTGACACCATGAGAAGGACTCAGGTTGGAAATTGGGCCAAATGGGTCGCAACTAGCACATGCAACAACATCAAGTTTTTTTTCCGGTAATTAACAACATCAAGTTTATTCCCTCCAAGAGACATTCAATTTATTTTCTTCCTTTAGACTTCCAATTCCAAATTCCCCATTTTTGGCAACGACGTTAGTTTTTTTTTACTTCCAAGTCCCAACTCCAAGTTGATGACCGAATGCATCCACCGACTCTGAAACTTTATATTTATTGGGGTTCAGTAATATCTGGGACTCCAGGAGCTCACAATTCGATTCCATGGTCGCATGTTCGATTCTACGCCGAAGGGGTAGTTTTTCCAACGGCGGGTTATTTGATTGATGACAATGAATATGTTTTTCTTTTCCATTGAATTTTCATTTCTCTATCTGGAGATGATCTCGCAATCAAATTATGCAAAGAGATTTGTTTCAGATAGACAGGTCGGTGTAGGGATAGGAATGAAACATGGCGGAAACTTCAGAGATAGGCAATAGTTGTAACAGTAATTTGGGATTTAGATGCCAATGGTGTAAAACATAGCCAAATAGTAAGGGTACTTTTTCGAATTTCCTAAACATTAAGTTTGGGATAAAATAAATTTTGTGTGACGTAGGTGGAACTCCAAATTATGCGTTGGTTGGTTATACTATTGTCATACTTCACCAAAAAATGAAAGTAAGTTTCTATCCGTGTATGCTACTATTCATTGTTTGTGTTTTTAGGTAATTTTGAGGATTTCAGGAGAGCGAATGGAGTTTTGTATAAATCTTTCAATGACGCATGTTATGCCCATGACTCATATTGAATTTTATGAGAGACCATTCATTTTTTTTTTCATCTTTAAGGTTGATTATAGATGTATTATGGAAACACCTCTAATATTCGACTATATGGTGTACCATAACTATTGAAATGACAATTAGTTACAAGTATTCATTTTTCTCAATGAACAATCATACTTATTTCATAGATCACATTTCTCCTCTTCTTACCACATTATGCATAGATCGATATTACATGTATTTCATAGCATCTATCATATCCATTATTATATATCATATATTTCGAGTCTAAATTCTCCTGGCCAACCGGCCAGGCCCGGTGCTAGTTATTATAAGCATTGAAATCCCACTCCCGAAAGAGATTGTTAAGTTTGTTATGGTTTCAGACCAACTCCGAGTGTCATCAAATTCAGACGAAATATACTGGGCTCTCAGATAGTGGGGTGATGGCAAAAGGCGGGGTAGGCGGGTATTTCAATGCCTATACTCGTTCTGCACTAAGCGTGTTTTAATTCAGGTAATACTCATACAGGTGAAGGTCGACTCGTTCTTATATATTATTTCAGAAATTGACATCACTGCACTCGAATTGTATTTGTATTTATGTACGTTTGGGGACTTTGTCATTTACAGGATTGTTTACCATTATTAACCAAAAGACATACCCATTTGTTCATCCAATACGAAATTCTGCATATATTGCAAACGGACAACCAAACCATGCCATCACAACTGAGCACTCCTTTCCCTTTTACCTGCGGATGATCATAGAAAAAAAGTCCACCCAATTTTCAAAAAAATACACTAGTCCATTGTTCATCCAAATCAAATTTCTGCACATTTTGCCAAGGCGCCAAACCATGGAAAATCTAATCAATTTGAAATCTGTCATTACCAAAGAAATGGACAAAGCAAGTTTTGCTTTGATTTAGGGTGGATTTATATATTGAATTAGATATGCGTGAATATCAGAATGTTTAGTATCTATTGGTATCGTAGATTGATGCACTTGTTGGATTTGTATAACTCTGTATCGTTTCAATTTTAATTTATACAAACTGCATCAGATATCAAATTTATATGGGTTAATACCTTGTTATGGCCTGAACTATGACCATGTAATCAACTTTGGCCAGTGGTTTGAGAAATTAACATCCTGGCCCGATCTATGCAGCATATTGACAAAATTAGCCTGGAGCATGGTTTGACCGTTTGTTTGGACGGTCAACACCGTTGACCGTTAGTCAACTGTCCAGGTCACTGCCATGTCAACATAAAAAAATTACAATTTCATTTTTCTTTTTATTTCATTTACAAAAATTGAATAATTAAAAAAAAAATCCAAAAATTTTGGCCCACCCATCCCCACCTTATCCCCTCACCTTCTTTCCTTTTCGATTAAACCCAACCCTATTCCATCTTCTTCCTCCTTCTTCCCCGACGACCCACCGCCTCCTTGTTCAATTCTTCAAACCTAGCTCTAGTAATGGTGGAGTAGAAGTCGATACCTTCGTAGAGGGAGTCAATTTCGATGGTGGTCTGAGAGGTGGAAGACAGAGTCCTCTTCGCCCTCTCGTAGGCAGTTCGCAGCCGCCTCAGAGCTCTGGCGTGGCTGCTGATATCCTTCTTGTTCTTCCGCTTGAACTCCGAAACGAAGTGATTCACCAGCCGATTGTCGACGTCCTCACCTCCGAGATGCGTGTCTCCGGCGGTGGCCTTCACTTCGAAGATCCCTTCCTCGATCGTCAGCAGAGAGACATCAAAAGTTCCTCCGCCGAGATCGAAGATGAGAACATTCTTCTCGCCGCTCCTCGAACCCTTCTTGTCCAGACCATAAGCAATTGCTACGGCGGTGGGCTCGTTGATGATCCGGAGAACGTTCAGACCGGCGATTGAGCCAGCATCCTTGGTCGCCTGCCTCTGCGAGTCGTTGAAGTAGGCCGGGACGGTGACAACCGCGTTCTTGATGGTCTGACCTAAAAAGGCCTCCGCAATTTCCCTCATTTTAACTAGCACCATGGACGAAATCTCTTCCGGAGCAAACTGCTTCTCTTCGCCTTTGTGCTGGACAATGATCATCGGCTTGTCACCGGGGCCCGTGATGACCTTGAACGGCCAGTGCTTCATGTCTTCCTGTACGGAAGGGTCGGAGAATTTCCGGCCAATGAGGCGCTTAGCGTCGAAGACGGTGTTGTGAGGGTTCATGGCGACCTGGTTCTTGGCCGCATCGCCGATGAGTCGCTCTGTGTCGGGGAAGAAGGGATTTGTTTTCGTCGGAGGGAATGGAGGCGGCGGCTCGTCGGGGAAGAAGGAGGAAGAAGATGGAATAGGGTTGGGTTTGATCGAAAAGGAAAGAAGGTGAGGGGATAAGGTGGGGATGGGTGGGCCAAAATTTTTGGATTTTGTTTTTTTTTTAATTATTCAATTTTTGTAAATGAAATAAAAAGAAAAATGAAATTGTAATTTTTTTATGTTGATATGGCAGTGACCTGGACAGTTGACTAACGGTCAACGGTGTTGACCGTCCAAACAAACGGTCAAACCACGCTCCAGGCCAATTTTGTCAATATGCTGCATAGATCGGGCCAGGATGTTAATTTCTTAAACCACTGGCCAAAGTTGATTACATGGTCATAGTTCAGGCCATAACAAGGTATTAACCCAATTTATATTGTACATAGTTCATGTACATGAAATCATCTACATAAAATGAATGGTGGGATAGTTTTTCCCTCGTACACATATCTTAAAAAGGAACTAAATCATAAATACAACAATCCAGATTTAAAATTCTAAACTAGTTCATAGCAACTTAATTAAAAATAGATTGTTAATTAATAATCTACCATTAAAACGTAACAGCCCGTGCTACCAATAATAAGTCATTTCCTGTTTCCATCCCATGGGATACAGAGCTCTCACCAAAAAACGCTAACATGGACGAAGAAGCAAGCAAACATCACGAGGAAAGAAGAAACACACTTCTCGTCCTCCTAAACTGCTCGCTACTCGCCGTCGGCGCAGTTGGCGGCCAACTCCTCTCCAGAATGTACTTCCTCCACGGCGGCCACAAGCGGTGGCTCTCAGCCTTCACGGTAACCGCCGGCTTCCCAATCCTAATCCTCCCCATCGCCGTCTCCTACAAACGCCGCCGTTTCCTCATCCCGGCCCGGCTCGCCGCCGCGAGTGGGCTTTTGGGCCTCCTATTGGGCTTCAACAGTTACCTCTACTCCTTCGGCACCGCCTACCTCCCCGTCTCCGTCGCTTCCCTCGTCGGCTCTTCCCAGCTGGCATTCACCGCCGCCTTCGCTTTCCTCATAGTGAAGCAGCGGTTCAGCCACTACACCGTGAACGCCGTCGTTTTGATGACGCTGGGCTCGGCGGTCATCGGATTCCACATGGACGGCGACATCCCCAAGGGGGAATCGAAGGGTAAATACGCGTTGGGCTTCTTCATGACCATTGCCGCCTCTGCCACTCATGCTCTGTTCATGACTCTGCTTCAGTATACTCAGGGGAAGGCTCGTGTCCCCGTCGATTACGACGTCGTGTTGCAGGTCCAGCTCGTCATATCCATGGTTGCTACCCTCTTCTGCGCCGTCCCCATGATCATCAATGGTGACTTTCAGGTAGACTGCTGTCCATTGTGACACAATCAATTTTTGTTGTCTCCTTTTTTTTTCCCTAGTGGATTTTGTTATGCAATGGTGAATTTGTGTCCTGCAGAATCTAGCCAGGGAAGCAGCAGAATTCGGCCTCGGGGAGAAGAAGTACTACATGATTGTAGTTCTAGCAGCCATTGGACTTCAGGTTATGATAATTGGGAGCCTTGGATTGGTTCTGTGTTCTTCGTCCCTAGTGGCTGGCATCGTCACCAGTCTTCTAGTCCCGGTTCGACAAGTCTCCGCCGTGATTTTCTTGCGTGAAGGGTTTGACGCCGAGAAGGGAATGGCGTTGGCGTTGTGCCTCTGGGGATTTGCTTCTCACTTATACGGACGATACAGGGCAGGGTCTGAAAAGCAAGATACAGATGATCGAAATCCGCAGCAATTTGAGCATGGAAACGGTAATAATCTTGGTTAGTAAAATGGAATTTGGACAGTAGATTGTATAACGATTTTGTCGATGTAACAGAACAATACTGAGGTGGTTCTTCTGTTACATTTGAAGTTGAAGATGGTTGGCCAATCAGCTGAATAATCAAACCTCAGTTTCTGGGGAGGTGTATATATATATATGCAGGTAATAGTACAACAATTAGCTAGCTGCTTTTGGCCACTAAAATCCATAAACAAGAAGTTAATCACAATTGGTCTAGTGGGTGTAAGGGCGAATGAAAGCCGAGTTCATCTCCCAAATCTTGAGCTTCACCTTCACATTGACATCCGTGGCATTGTTAAACAAGAAGAGCCTGGCGTCTCCATAGATGGCCTTGGTTGGATAAACTCTGGACGAGATCACTCTCCTCCCTCCCTGCCCGAAGCTCTCCACGATCGAATGATCCACCAGCACTCTCATCTGCAGCTTCTCGTCGCCCACCACCGGAATCGAGCTACCGTACACGACCTTGAACACGTCTGGTGCCAAAGATGATCTGTGTAGGAAACAGAGTTACAATTCGTCGACTAATCAAATCCTTCCGTTGGTGTACAGAAATGCGACTTTTAAGTCTATAATGGATCAAATGTGAATTTACTAAACCTGGTTTGGTCTGTACAGAAGTAAGTTGTGACGGCGTCGGCAGAGGTTTGCACTGGCCGGAAGAAAACAGAGGTGAGCTCCGACAGCGACGCATCCGCCAGAGCTAGAATCCCGAACGGTCCCAAGCTGCTTCTCTCCGCTGCGCCGCCGTCGCAACTGTTCTCCTCGTCGGTTTTCTTCCCTGATATCAGCTCCACTTCAAACTCCGCCATTATATCCAGCTGCAATGGAATCGAATTCTTCAATTAACGACCAAATCGGCGAAATCCATTAATCTTTTATGCAGTGCGACAAAATCAAACCTGCGTTGCAGAGCCTATGTGTAGCGGGACGACAGAACCAGGACCAACCAAAACGTCCTCAAAACAGTAACTCCTCAGCCTCAAGCTCTCAATCTCCTCCACCGGCCACTGCAGCAAATCCGCTCCCGTCCTGCCATCCAGCACCACCGTCCTCGGAATCGTCTGCAATTTCACCACTTCCAATTCAGTTCCCTGCATCTAAATCAACCTAACTCGGTTAAATCTGAAAAGGGTAAAAATTAATTACCTGCAGGGAAGCCCAGCCCTTTTTGAGGTCATCGAATTCAGTATCAGTCTCGTTAATCCAACCCCACAGTATCCTCCTCTCCTTCTCCTGATCATAAAACGTCTTGGAAGCATAATACCTTCCGTAATCGTACTTCAACCCGATTCCCACGTCGTTTTTCGGGTCATCGGGCGTCCACAAATCCTCCACCGGATCGTACGTCCCAACGGCGAAATGATCCAGCTTCGTATCGTCCAAGCTCGCCTTCAGCACATGCTTGATCCCTTCCCCGGCCGCCGACGTGTCGAGCCCCTTCGTCCCGTTGACCGCCACCGGGAAAAAGTCCACGCACTCCCACATACCCGTACCCGGAACCGAGTGCAGGTAATGATCCAGCAGCTCGTAGCTCAGAAAATCCCTGGTCTTGTAAACGAGCGTGAGGCCCAACTTCTCGACCCTGGACCCAATCGCGACCCGCCACAGCCCATCCGGGCCCAGCCACGCGGTCGTCGGGTCACGGAAATCCTTCGGCCCAATTCCAGGCGGCGGGAGCAGGACCGGGTTGGCCGCGTTCTTCACCCAGTGGAGCAGGAGCGGGTCGGACGGGTCGGCCGGGTGGGCGAGGTTTTGGACCTGGGTGAGATTACCTGTGCTGCCGGTGTAGAGCATGTAGATGTTGCCGTCCGGGTGGCGGGTGGCGGAACCCGTCCAAACGCCGTTAACGTCGTACCAGCGGTCGGGGACGAGGGCTAACGGGAGGAGAAGCCAATGGATCAAGTCGCGGGAGACGGCGTGACCCCACGTGATGTTGCCCCAAACGGCGGAGTCCGGGTTGTATTGGTAGAAGATGTGGTACCAGCCTTTGTGATACAATGGGCCTGTGTATCCAGTCCAGCCCAACACAACACAAACCCACCAAGCCCAAACCAATTTCAGATATCGCGCGAATTAAAGAAAAAAAGGGGGGGAAAAGTAGAGTACGGGTAGGTACGTACCGTCAGGATCTGGAGAAGGATACCCAACCATTCAATCGCAGCCGTCGAATCAACCAGCACAAGACGACAAAAAGCAATTGATATCAGTACAGTTCAATCCCCACAGGGAACAGCAACCTCTCACAAATAATTGACCAATAGCAGCGTTTCTTCTTCCTTCCGTCCCTTTCTTTTGGAGCTAGTGAAAGTGGAAATGGAGAAACAGAGACACCTACCGTTCATCCAATTACGCTGTGGCTGGAAGTGGTAGGCAGTTCTCTGCCAGGTGAACATGGCGTTGGTCCAGTTATACGAAACCCTTTCTTCTTCTTCTCCCACGAATCCCGGGCTCGACTTCGCCGACACCCCTTCCCTGACTCCTCTCGCCGGCGGCGTCCGGTGGTGGTCAGCTCCAGGAGAGATGGGTGGCGACTGCTGGCTCCGGTGGCCGGAAAATGCTAGGAGACCCACTGAGAAAATGAGTAGAGAAGAGAGTATGAGGCCGCATTGCTGCCGGCGGGTTGCGGGGGGAGGCGGGTCGAGCAGAGGAGTCTCGACCGCCATTTGAGAAAGAGGGAGAAGAAAAGAGAAGATAGGGTTTAAGAAAAGTGGGTATGGATTAATGGTGGGTGGGTCGAATGCGGCTGTGGATCTCGTTTCCATCTGGGGGGTTTAAATTGGGGGAGATTGGATTGGATGGAAAGGCTAGAAATTTCATGGGGATGGTGGTGGGGGAAATGGGGCCGTGGACTGAGTTGGATTTGTCAGTATTTTTCTTTTTCTTCCTTTCAAGAGGAGGAAAGAATGGGTAACAAAGAGAAACAGAGGGTGTGGTTGAAGATATTAATCAAATCACAAACTGTAACTCTCGACTGAATCAAATCAAGTCACTTTGATTGTGATTTCCCCGGCCTGGTTATCGATTTTCCTGCCTTATCCAGGTGGTGTTGGGATCTAAATCCAGAGATACAATATTGAAATTGGATTCTTCTTCGTTGATTGAAACTGTTGGGTCATGTGTGAAAATAGATTACTTCTACTGTTGGGGCACCGTAAATGAAAAGAGAAAGGGATTAATGTTAATGTGTAGCAGGTTCGAGAATGGGGGGTTGATTTACTTTACTGTAGCAGCGTTGAGAATGTGAGTGATTAGGTGGCGGCGGTGTCACGTTTGGTAGAGTTTTTTTCCCCTCCAAATCTTCTCGTCAATCAACGTGAAAATACAAACATATAATTAGTAGTTCCGTCAGCATAACCAAAAGCGGGAAGCGGAGATCTTCAGTTTATTGATACTTTATAGTACGCTAATCGTTTATTAACACCTACTTAATTAAGGTGCTAATTCGGGATAAGCACTTTCTCGATTTGCTGCTTCCGTGGCTGAATCCTCGATCTCCGTGTGACGGGGCAAACTTGGCTTTTTGGACTTGGACAGCCGGTTTCCGGGTCAAATCTCCGGGTAAACTCACCTGAATCACACACGTAACACAATCGTTTTATATACGGTATTCCCCTTTTTTATTTGTAGGTAATTTGTGTCAGTAAACTGTATATGGCTTTTTTCCAATTATTCGAGTTATCGGGATTGACTGATTTTCGACATGGAATTAGAGCATTCTGTGAACGAGAAGTTTGTTGTTCGAATCCCGATAGCCTCGTCTGTTTCTGTTACGCACATGTTATCCTGATTCCTGACTTCACAAACTTCAAGTCCACATATAGTATATGACTCACGATTGAACTTCTACCAACAATTCGAGTTATTGTAATCAACTAGTTTCTTGACAATTTCTATCGATGGAATTCACAATTCAAGTTCTGGGCGCAAGTTGGGATTTTGGATTTTTGTTTTTTTTTTCCCGTCAGTGTCGTGTCTTTGCTCCTTGGAGCTTCTTCAGAGCTGCCCAAATAGTGGCTTGACAGGCTTTGTCATCGATAGTCTGGTTGCATACATACTAACGCACACGGTTTGAATCGATCTTGTGTTTGAGTCGAGTCTTTGTCCCATAACCATTGAACTTGTTTTGAAGAAAAAAAACAAGTACAAAAGCTATTATAAACACGTAACAGTTATGGATACGTGGTTTGATTCTCTACCGTTGCTGCACTTTAAATGACGGAGCCTGATCTTAAATCTTATTCATTTTTCGACCTCTGCCTGCCCATCTGATAGTTATCGAACCACAATAAATCTCTCAACTTGGAGCATGGCCAGCAGCAAGCCTTTCAAGTATCACGCCGGAGAGTCGCATCGCGAACGGGAGTTTTGTGCCGGCGGCACATTACTCCATAACCGTCGGTGCATGATGATAATATAAACAAATATTGCGAATTATTGGACTCGTGGATAGAATTTGGGTCACATATTTCAGGGAGCAACAATGCCCACAAAATTGTGGAAAAAATCCAAAAGTACCACTGTTTAAAATTTTTTTTCCAAAAATACCACCCAACCCCAAAAAATTCCAAAAATACCACCATTTTTCAAAAACCGCCACCCCACGCAGCGGTTTGGTCGAAAACCGCTTGTCGGGGGCGTGGTTTTGGACCAAACCGCGGGTCTAGGGTGCGGTTATAAAAAAAAAAAATTTGGACCAAACCGCTGGGTGGGGTGGCGGTTTGGCCCAAAACCGCCACCCCAACCAGCGGTTTGGTCCAAAAAAAAATTTTCGACCAACTCCTAACTTCGGTCGAAACTTCAAACGAACGTAACTTTGCACTCGGGTATCCGATCGTAGCGATTTTTTTTTTCATTTCGCATAACTTTTCAAGATCTACAACTTTTACTAGGATGAAATTTTCAAAACAGGAACTATTTGTGGATATACGGGACCTTGAGAATAACTTTACCTTTACTTTTCAGAAATCCATGTACATTTTGAAATTATGATTATTTTAAAATTTGTAGATCTTGAAAAGTTATGCGGAATAAAAAAAATTCATGACATTCGGATTTTGGAGCACAAAGTTATGGCCGCCCAAAGTTTGATGAAAGGCGAGACCCGTCGGTTTGCGGCTTGCAAGATTCCATATTATAGTAAACGGATTTTTGCTAACTATGTTGGTCAAGACATATATATCACGTCCTTTTCAGTGTATGGCCAATGCCTTGGCCCTGCATACAAGATTCCATATTATTGTTTGTAAACTAGAATAATGTTGTTTGTTTAAGGTTCCATACGCTACAAACTGACCATCATTAGTATCATAATTTTGAACAGGATCTGCAAATTAATTAACATATGTGCCTGCAGAAGGAAATTAAAGACAAAGTTTATTGATTTGGGACAATAAACATAAAGACGTACTTACGGTGCACATTATTGTTATTCATTGACGAAATAAATAAAAAAAGTCGTTCGGGGTGGCAAATGACGTTTTTTCGAGACGAAGACGGAACCCGACTGTTTGAGACTTGCAAGATCTCAAAAAGTTATTCGGATTCAAAAAATGGAGGCCACAAACTTTTTGAGATCTTGCAAGCCGCAAACCGCCGGGTCTCTCCTTTCGTCAAACTTTGGGCGGCCATAACTTTGTGTTCCAAACTCCGAATGTTATGAACTTTTTTTTGATTCCGCATAACTTTTCAAGATCTACAACTTTTAATACAATCATACTTTCAAAATGTACATGGATTTCTGAAAAGTAAAGGTAAAGTTATTCTCAAGGTCCCGTATATCCACAAATAGTTCCTGTTTTGAAAATTTCATCCTACTAAAAGTTGTAGATCTTGAAAAGTTATGCGAAATGAAAAAAAAATCCCTACGATCGGATACCCGAGTGCAAAGTTACGTTCGTTTGAAGTTTCGACCGAAGTTAGGAGTTGGTCGGAAAAAAAAAATTTGGACCAAACCGCTGGTTGGGGTGGCGGTTTTGGGCCAAACCGCCACCCCACCCAGCGGTTTGGTCCAAATTTTTTTTTTTTATAACCGCCCCCTAGGCCCGCGGTTTGGTCCAAAACCGCGCCCCCGACAAGCGGTTTTCGACCAAACCGCTGGGTTTGGTCCAAAGTATTATCCGAAAGTTATGAACTTTTTTTTATTCCCCATAACTTTGCAAGATCTACAACTTTTAATATAATCATAATTTCAAAATGTACATGGATTTCTGAAAAGTAAAGGTAAAATTATTCTCAAGGTCCCGTATATCCACAAATAGTTCCTGCTTTGAAAATTTCATCCTAGTAAAAGTTGTAGATCTTGAAAAGTTATGCGAAATGAAAAAAAATCGCTACAATCGGATACCCGAGTGCAAAGTTACGTTCGTTTGAAGTTTCGACCGAAGTTAGGAGTTGGTCGAAAAAGAAAAAAAATTTTGGACCAAACCGCTGGTTGGGGTGGCGGTTTGGGTGGCGGTTTTGGGCCAAACCGCCACCCCACCCAGCGGTTTGGTCCAATTTTTTTTTTTTATAACCGCCCCCTAGGCCCGCGGTTTGGTACAAAACCGCGCCCCCGACAAGCGGTTTTCGACCAAACCGCTGGGTGGGGTGGCGGTTTTTGAAAAAGGGTGGTATTTTTGGAATTTTTTGGGGTTGGGTGGTATTTTTGGAATTTTTTTTTAAACAGTGGTACTTTTGGATTTTTTCCGACAATATGGACCATAACCTATGGTGTCTAATCCTCATATACAGTCCTTAACCAATTTGAATTTGCCACGGGAATACTGTAGTGTCGCTTCATTTTTATGTCAAGCACCCTCTAACGCAACACAACAAGTACGGTGGTTGATTAACATATGTGATAACGACGGCAATGATTGCAACTACAGGCAACTTTCTGTGGCGTGGATATCAGCTCGTGTTTCATGCTTCTAATGTAACCATTTTCACGGTGTACATTAAATTATTGAAGAGGGGTCTAATCAAACAAAGTTTATTTCAACGATTGTCATGCTGATCCTAATTAGTTACGTTATTGCTTTCGAAAACATTCAATTTAATATGTTGTGGGATTCTGAAAGAATTCGTGATTGATGTGGTTTTTCTCGTTTGTTGTAAATAGGTGTCTATGATACGAATGACAATAGTGTATGCAGTGGCGGAGCCAGAAAATTGGCCAAGGGGGTGTCTTTATCATATCATAAAAAATCACCTATACAATATAAAAGTCAACTTCAAATGAACAAAAAGTCAACAACGCAATACTGTAAATTCTTACGATTACATTAAAATAGTTTTACGTACACCGGTTACAACGTCAAACAAATAAGTTCAGTACATACAAGTCAAGACTTCCATTCATCAAATATTACAAATTAGAACTTAGAAGTACCTTGGAATTGATTTTGTGAAACAAACAAGTGAACCTCAATTGGTACTTCTTCAATTTCAGCTTTGTTTAAACAAAAGAAGAAATTTCTCTGTTGTAGAGCTACAAAAGAAATGAGCGAGTTTAAACAAAAGATAACAATTTATTACTATAAATATACGAAAGTGCATTGAATAACAAAACTCACTCGGTTGAGATGGTAAGAAATTCTTCTTGCAACTGAATGGTCACTGGTTCGAATTTGTATATACCCATACTCGGAATTTTTTTCTCCAAACCCAAGGGGGGTGCAAGCACCCCACTCCTCTCCATGTGGCTCTGCCACTGAGTGTATGGTCATAGCATATATCTCGATAATCATAAGTTGTCCTTTGAGGCTGTGACACGTCATATTTTTGCATCAGAGAGTTGGTCAAGACGGGTCGACTCATATAGTTCTACACATATGTATTTCAAAGGAAACCCGATAA